AACGCTAGTTTTTTAATTACTGTCTCAATAAGACCAATTAAATCAATAAGAGACTAACTGTGTCTGACACTGACTGGCTAACTTATCAGAAACCTGTTTTTGAAGTATTAAGAGTAATGTTTGCGATGCGGTATCTTGTGATCAAGGTGAGCTTCCTAACCATCGGAATAATTAATTATAGTTTCAAAATTTTTTGATACATTAGTTTTACATTTTCTTTATTTCGAGAATTTCAAAATTTCTTTCCCCCTTTTTTCTTTTTTACTGCATTCTTATCTGGATTTAATTCTGGTATTTATACTCTCGAGGTGAGGAAGATCACCATGACTAGTTAATAATTGTTATATTCTATGTATGTGAATGTATTAGTTATCTTTGAAGAAGGCTCAAAAATGAGCCGAAACATGTAAGCGCTTTAGTAAAATAAAGAAGTTTCACGCTACGATAGTCGTGTTATTTGCGCAACATCTCCCGCGCTTGACTCCTACTGCCCTTGTTCTTTCATTGTTTTTTAATCACAACTGTTATTCAATACAAAGAATAAATCCTTTTTTATAAAAACTAAATAACGTATGCATTCACCTTTACGTATGCGTATCAGTCTTTAACTTTATGTGCGTATAATATTAGAATATAATTAGGATATAATTAGAATATTAACATAATATAAAATATATGAAAATATAATATTAGAATAGAATTATACGTATTCATTGGAACATATAAAATGTATTATTATAAGTATATTTAATATATAATGCACAAATATCACGAATGCTTGTATGTTCCAATTGCAAGAAGCAATTGATGCAGGTGCTACTTCGGGTTTAATGTTAATGAAATCATTAATTATATCAAAATATTCCCAGCATTCTCTAGCTGTACCAGTTTGATTATTACGATCTCGTATACTTCTATATTTTTGCTTCAAATTCTTCCATTTAACATTACATTGTTCCTCTGTTATGTTATATCCTCTTTCATTGAACTTATTTGTTATTATTCTTCATACTCTTTTTTGCATATAATTCTTTTTATCTAATAATGCCACATGGCTTCTAACTTCTTCTATTAAAAGTTTCGTAGTTTCAACAGTCCACTGAAATTTGCAATTTTCTGTAAAAAAATAACATTATTAAAATAATATGTTATATGCATTGCGACCGCACTCACGAGCGTGGTGCCACTTCGTCGCTCGTTCGCGAGTATTGCTCTACCTCTCCTTCGTCGATGCCTTCACGACAACGTTAAAAATGCTCAACGCCACAACGGCTTTCTCAAATTTTACATGCTCTAAACCTCAACGTCAGTAATTGGGCGCCAGGCACGAGAGAGCGTGCCCCTCTTTCTTAAGTCTTTTCGGTACGTTCTCACTCGAAAATACAGAGGTGTAGAGAATCACGAACGCGGACGGCTCTAATAACCGACTACTCAGCCACGATAATGGCAGAGGGGGTGGTTCGTGGTCGGGAACGGAGGATCTTTTGGAGAACGAGTAAGGCGAGACAACAGAAAAATAGGTAGAATTAATAACAATAAGATAATAACAAATATATTCTCTGAATCAATTACAGGATTTCTGACGTACGGGCAGACGGATTGACTTTGCGGTATGTAAGCGCTCTGGCCTCCGCGATACGTTCTCGACACGCGGTATTAAATAACCGCTTCTCTTCTCTGACGTACAGGCTCTCGATTCTAGCGTAATTCTACGCGACGCGTGTATCGTGGTTACGGAGATCCATGGCGCAGAAAATCTTCGGAATGCGTGAACACGCGAGAATACTCCTCTGAGAAATCTAGGATCTACTACGACGACGATAGTACGCGACATGAAACGGTGACGCAACAATACGATACAAAATTACGGGTCAACAATATGATACAAAATTATGACGCGACGATACGGTACAAAATGACCTGGCTGTAGCCGCGGCGAGCGTGCAAAATAACCGACTCAAAATTATAACGAAACTAAGACGATATCGGACGGGATGGGACGATCACGCGGTGCGCGCGTGCAGTCGCGACGCAGTTACTCGCGAGAGAACCGAACCCAAGACTCAACGATAATTTCACACATACGTACGATCCCTCCGATCCGGAAATCGGCGGTTTTACAATCAGATGCGTTCATCACATCCTCTTGGCACTCCCTTGTTCTTATATCGTCCTGCGTCTTCTCGCACGTGTGTGTCGCCTTGAGTCCACAGCACAAGTGCCGGGCCCGAAGTCCCTTCGGAGGCGCGCAGGCGACCGTGGGCCCACGTGATAAGCCTTATCGGCCCTGATTGGTCGCGGGCCATCTCGCGAGCTTCCGCGAGTCCTCACGACTTGCTATCGCGTCGCGCGCCCTAGATCCTTGTGCGCGCGGGATTTGACTTAATGCTGGCGTTGTTTCAGCTGCTCGCAACGATCCTCTCTGGCCTACTCTTACCGGCGTGTCATCAGGATTCGGTGTGTTCCCGTGCAGACGGACTCGTCTTCCGGGTTCGACGTCTCCTTTCGGCAAAGACTTCTTTGCTGCACTGACAGCGGGGTCCCTCGCTCGTCCTATGGCAGAGGGTGGCCATCCCCTCATGTCGCTTCAGTCGCTCCCGCGGCATAATCGCCTGTAAGGAGTTCAGCTACGGGAAAATAAGTTATGCGCAAGGCGTTAATTCGATAATTCAGAACGATATCACCTGTGTGCTAACCCTCGGGAGGTGGCCTCGGGCTTCCAATATGGTCTTCTATCCTCTTCTTTGTCGCCTCCTTGAGGTGGTGAGAAGATGTGTCACACACTAAATTATCTACTGGAGCCGTCGATACTAAAAATCTCCAATAAATCCACAAAAAGAAATAGCAATATTACGCGAAACGCGACGACAAAAATCTCCAAATTATCGCTCAAAAATCGCAACAAGCGTCGGCACGCCCGCCCTCCGCGTCAGGAGGACACAGGATAAATCTGCCGCGCACTTCGGCCAGGTCGAATGACCCTTGTGACGGACGGTAAAAAACGTCACGTTACAGCATATTATGCTACAAATATCGTGAGAAAAAATTATTTCTGCAAAATACTATATTTTATTTAAAAAATCAAAATGATCAATTAAATACTCATATCATCAAAAAGATTAATTAAATACTCATATCATATGTATGTTTACAAGTATCGCCGAAATTAAGTTAACTCAATAGTTACTAATTAGTACCCGTATCAAGTACACGATATAAAAACTAAGCTAATGACTCGGAGACATTTATATCATAACCAAAAATTTTTAGATTATGATAATAATTTTAATTATTTTTTACTTTGTAAATAACAATTAAAATTGTTATTGTATGTTGTACACAATAAATAATAACAGTAATGATAATATTATAATTTACAATTTTATAACATTCACGTACCAAATTGACTTTGTCCAATTAAATACACTTCATTCGTTTTATTTTGATCCATTGTAGTTATATTTATCCTAAAATTAGACAAATTATATTATCAAAAACATATTATTTCTTGAAAATACAGAATATTACAGTTTTGTGGAAATTAATCCTTTCCGAGTAAACTTATCAAATCCACAGCAACAGCACATAAAGAAGAGAAATATTAATCTTTTAGGAGAAACACGCGCGACGATAGTAGTCCGAAATCCAAGTTTCATAGACAGCACGGATTAAAAAGAGGTTAGGCGGCGATTTATCGTTGCTCGATACTATTGACATAAAAATGAAAAGGGCCATGTCCAAAAAAAGACCCTCAAAAATTTAAACCTTTAAAAATTTGAATGATTATTTAAAATAATATATTACCATGAAAAGTAACTGATATATTATTAAAATAAAGGTGCCAGTTCAAAATGAACATACATAAAGTATATATTATCTAAATTTAATAATATATTACCATGAAAAAAAATTGATATGTTGTTCAAGGTGCAAGTTCAAAATGAAAATACATACATATAAGTAAAACAGATTACAATTTGATTCTAGAAAATAAGTGCGATATGTTATTCTTAGTGCACAAAATATAAAAATCGTTTATTGAGATTTTTTATTTGAAATTTATACTAGCCCGTACAATGAAAAATAATTGCTTATAATTCCAGAGTACCAATTTGTTAATGACTCGGAAAAAAAACGGCCTAATTTCTAAAAACTTTGATGAGTTTCTCGGTGTCCACTCAGAAATAATGTCGAAGCTTTTACAGAGTAATTGTTACAACACTTGAAGTACGAAAAGTATTTCATTAGAACCATATTTTCAAAAGCTCTATAACGAAGTGAATATATATTGTATTATGTCAAATAATCAGTAAACTCTTTAACTGTATAGCATCTTTGTACTTGACCTGAGAACTTATTGTTTATGAATTTTAGGTTTATTTAACATTTATTCGTTTCAGGCAATAAGACAACGTTTTTTGATCAGTAAATTACTCGCTGAAAATACGGTATAACAACTACTTAAAATCGGAAGTTGATATGAAAATTCAAAATTTTACTAAAGGAAGCTGGGAGGGTTTTTTAAATCTAAACCATTTTCATATCTCTTTTATTTCAATTACTTTTTCTTTCACTCGAAATTTTTTTGAGAGCAGGCCGCCATGTTCTTTTTCCGAGTCATTAACAAATTGGTACTCTGGAATTACAAGCAATTATTTTTCATCGTACGGGCTAGTATAAATTTCAAATCAAAAATCTCAATAAACGACTTTTATATTTTGTGAGAGAGAGAGAGAGAGAGAGAGAGAGAGAGAGAGAGAGAGAGCACTAAAAATAACATATCGCACTTATTTTCTAGAACCAAATTGTAATCTGTTTTACTCATATGTATGTATTTTCATTTTGAACTTGTACCTTGAACAACATATCAATTATTTTTCATGGTAATATATTATTAATTTTAGATAATATACACTTTATGTATTGTTACGTCCAAGCCCTTGAAAATTTGAAATCGAATGAGAGAGACAAGGATGGAGATGGAGGGGTATGGAAGGACGTGCAGACTTTATCTCACAGGTATACGCGCAGAGGCGAATACCTGAGAGTCGGACGCACTTCTTATCGCTCCGGAATATGGGTCAACATCCCGAAGGGACGCTATAACACCTGTTTCCTACGAGCAGTGCGTACGTCGATCCTGATTTCGAGTCAAGGAACCTAATCCTTATAACTTGGGACCGGATCACGTGCGATCTCTGAAAGGCGACGGAGTACGAGGTCGTTTTTGGTTTTTAAAATGAAAGGAGAGCAATCATCTTAACAATATTCTAATTTATTACTAAACATAAATTATAGTTTAACAATACGCGCTTAGAAGTAATAAATTAGTTCTATAGTTTATTGTAAAATTTAATTTTATATTCATGTTACAATTAATACAACTCGATTGTACATTACAATAAATGATTGCAAAAATCGCTGGCCGATTGTAAAATAATAGGAACATTTGTGCCGCTAGAGAATGTAGACATAGTGCGAGCGTGAGTCTATATTTGTATATATATGGTGAGGCGATACATGTTGGTTATTGAATTTCTTTAATTATGATAATGGAAGGAGGGAAAAGGTCATTGAAAAGGTCGATCGGAACTAGGTAAGGAAAGGGGGAACTAGGAATGAATACTGGAATGTGAGTTCCAGGAGGTTGTTCGGCTATGGCAGCTCGGATTTCCTCGGGATCGAAATAGTCAGGGCCGATGGTGTAGGTGCCCTGCGGGAGAGGATCGGTGGTGCGATCGAAACGGTTAATCACCGAGTCGAAGGTGTCACCAGGATAGATAGGAAATCGGTTGCGCTGAGAGGGAGGAGGTGGAAATTCTTCCAGAATTTCCACGCTTGATGTGGAATCAGCAGGAGATGGTGGACGAGGTGACGCTGGAGCGGAGTGGAGAGGGAAGTCGGGAGTGTGTGTTGGAATGTCGGGAAGTAAGTGCTCCGTCAATGCGTCTGACAACGCAGGTGACGGAGATCGCAGGGAAGGAGGGGAAGGTATCGCCCTTAGTGCATGATGCGTCGGTTGTTCTGGGGAGGCCGGCGGAGCCGGTGATGGCGAAGGTGGATGAAGTAACTGTGCTGACTGTTGTGTAGATAATGATGTGGGTTGTCGTGCGTCGTCGGTAGATTTTGTTTGATCGTTATAGAACTCCTGATATGCTAGATCTAGGAGTCTGCGTGCTTCGAGGAAAGCCCAACTTTTTAGCCAACCTTGATGGGGACGGTGGCGCTTTGATCGAGGTTTCACTACGGGATGATTCGAGTTAAGTTTTGAGATGTATAATTTGCGAGGAGCGACTTACTGCTTGGTTATCCGGGTAGACGGGTTGTCTGGATACTTGTTGGTCAGTGGTTCGGTTCCCTTGGTCTCGTGGATGGTGATGCTGACCGAATTTGAGCACTGATTCTAGAGTGACTAAGTGAAAATATATTTCTCGAACTTTATTCTGACTTTGACTCTAACTTTGACTCTGACTTTGACTCTGACTTTGACTCTGACTTTAATTCTGACTCTAATTCTGACTCTAATTCTGACTCTAATTCTGACTTTTTTGTTGCGTCTCGCGGTATCGTGATTTATATAGTCGTTTTTTAGGAGGTGGTTCCATGGTAGGATGTGTCAAATTGGGAAATTGAGGAATCAGGTTCACAGGATTTTGATATGATAACAGGCTTGACTGGTCATTGGGAAATTTCCCTCAAGTTAGCTCCGCCTGCTGTGTCAGTTTGATTCGCTCTTATTCTTATTGGTGATAAGGTATCACCTTCCTAAAGGTTTCAGACTCACGATCGCCTATTGGAGAGTTTCGTTTCTGGGGAGGGATGGGTTGTAAGTTACCTATTTCCCTTTTTATCAATATCTGCTTAAGGGAAAAGGTAATCTACTTTTTATCAACATTCCTGGATTTAGTTAATCTTGTTCCTTGGGAAGCAAGAAACGTGAATTATTATTTTGTTGATTTTCTCGTCATCGGAAAGTGTCATTATTAGATTTATGACCCTTTCTGAAGCCTATGCGCAAGACTATTATCGTTAGACGTGCGTGATATCGGCGTGGGATGATTCAACATCTTACCTTCCCTCGAGTATCATGTTCGCGATATGACTCTTATCAAGGATGTTCGATTCTGGATCCGGCTTAGCACCTTGGTGCTAATGGCGCGGTTTGAAAATGATTATTCGGTTTCTTTTTCCACGATATTCGAAAGAAGATTAAAGACTTGGTTATCGCGGGTTACTAAATAAATTCTGAATAAACATATTTTTCTGCTGGGAAAGTTTCTTCGGATTTATGTTATCGATTGAATTTATTCGTATCTTACTTTATTGATCGAACGATCATAAAACGAAGAAATCGTGGAGTCCACTGGATGTTCATTTTGAACTGGCACCTTTATTTTAATAATATATCACTTACTTTCCATGGTAATATATTATTTTAGATAATCATTTAAATTTTTAAAGGTTTAAATTTTTGAGGATCTTTTTTAAACATGGCTTGACCTTTTCATTTTTATGATTTTGTAGTAATGTATATTGTGTAGGTCTGTTATTTTTTCGAAGGTTCTGAACTTATTGCATCAGTGTACACCAGTTCAGAACTTACAGTGGAAAAAGAACAGACCTTATGTAATAAAGTAGAAAAAGAAAAAAGTTTTTTTTTCGTATAACAATCAAACTAACCAAGACTCCTTATAAAT